CCTTACAAGATAAGGATTAGATAATATTATTATCAAATAGATGCAAATAGATATCTTAGAAAAATCTTGCAAGATGTTAGTAAAAAAGATACATTGTCATACATTAGATATGCTCTTCAATAAGTGAAAAGAAGAATGTACTATTAAAAAATTATAAAGTTACATGTAACACTTCCAACAAATGAGAACACATATCTAAAAGAATAAAGTGCCAAAAATACATCTCCAAGAATAAAGGCTCCAAACTATACCTACACCCAAAGATTTTAAATTTCTCTACTTTCTTTATTACTATAGATAGCTCCAAGCTCCACTGTTAAAACTCTTTTAGCAAATTTTAATGTGCTACCAATCTCTCCAAAGGAATCCACACTTGGACTTTTGTATACAAACATCAATATATTTGCTTAACTACGTATATAAGAATGATGAACAAAAAACAATCACACACTACTAAATAATTATTATAATAACCATGGAATAACCACCATATCAAAGGACTAGAACTAATGTTGTTATATATAATAAATAATAATAAAAAGTATCCAAAATCAATGTGTGGACTAATCATTAACATCTCTATCTTCCAATACCTAATGAATCTTCTAGAAGTTGTAGAAGCTTGTTATTCGTGTAAAACATATGACTACTCTTTTGTACCATTGCAACTGTAATATTACTTAGGATTGAGAGAGATTTGTTGATATATTGAACTTCCTTCAATCTATCACTTGTAGCTTTAGACCGATCTACTTGTTCACTTCTAGTGAGTTCAATTAAATGGAGTGATTTCCTTAAAACAACTCTAGATTCCAGATCTATGCCATACACATGCACTATCAAAATACTATACACAAAAAAAAGTTGTGTCTTAATATTAACTTCTAAATTGCTTAGAATTGTCATTAACACTATCTTCTAAATCTTAGATATGTGTATGATTCTCTTTTTAATATAATAAGTAGAAACAAAATTGAGATGACATTCATTAAAATTTTAGATTAAACTAAATAAAAACTATCAACCCGTTTAGTCACAATTTAGCTTGTGTTTATCTAATATCAAGTAGGTAAGTAAATACAAAGTACATCAAGAAAAACTTGAAAAGACTTATCACAAAGCAAAGTGACATAGATAATGACAACATGAAGAAAAGACAAGAAAGAATGATACTTATGAAATCTGCTATTGTACTTATTAAGAGTTGTAGCACCAATTGTTCTATTCTTTTGACCAACTTTCCTTAGGCCCGGCATATCTTTTGTTGACCATATTGACATCCTACTGACATCAAGGATATTTAGACCATTTAACTAAGAGTTGTTCCAAATCTCCAGTATGCTTATAATCAAGACAAAAAATACACATATTCAAGATAGTCAAAGATATAAGGTTGCCTAATTCATTTGGCAATGATGTCAAGATTGAACATCTACTTATATCAAATTAAGCCAAAGATGTGAAGTTGCCTAACTCATTTGAAAATAATGTCAAGCTTGTACATTCACTTATTTCAAATTTAGTTAAAGATGTGAGATTGCCTAATTCATTTGGTAATGATGTCAAGTTTAAGCACCCACTTATATCAAATTTAGTCAAAGATGTAAGGTTGCTTAATTCATTTGGCAATAATATCAAGCTTGAGTACTTCCTCATATTCAAGGTAGTCAAAGATGTGAGGTTGTCCAATTAATTTGGCAATGATGTCAAGCTTGAACACTTCCTCATATTCAAGGTAGTCAAAGATGTGAGGATGCCCAATTCATTTGGCAATGATGTCAAGCTTGAGCACCAACTTACATTAAAATAAGTCAAAGACATGAGATTGCCTAATTCATTTGGTAATGATATCAAGCTTGAACTTTCATTTATATCAAATTTAGTCGAAGATGTGAGGTTGCCTGATTCATTTGGCAATGATGTCAAGCTTGAGCACCAACTTACATCAAAATAAGTCAAAGATATGAGATTGCCCAATTTATTTGACAATGATGTCAAGCTTGAGCATTCACTTATATCAAATGTAGTCAAAGATGTGAAGTTGCTTAATTCATTTGGCAATGATATCAAGCTTGAGCATTCATTTATATCAAATTTAGTCAAAGATGTGAGTATGCCTAATTCATTTGGCAATGATGTCAAGCTTGAGCACCTCTTTATGATAAAGGTAGTCAAAGATGTGGGGTTGCCCAATTCATTTGGCAATGATGTCAAGCTTGAGTATTCACTTATATCAAATTTAGTCAAAGATGTAAGGTTGCCCAATTCATTTGGCAATGATGTCAAGTTTGAGCACCCACATATATCAAATGTAGTCTAAGTTATAAAGTTGCCCAATTCATTTGGTAATGATATCACGCTTGAGCCCCCACTTATAGTAATGGTATCAAAGATGTCAGATTGCCGAATTCATTTAGCAATGATAGCAAACTTGAGCACTTCCTTATAATAAATGTAGTCAAAGATGTGAAGTTGTCCAATTCATTTGGCAATGATGTCAAGTTTGAGCACCCACTTATATCAAATGTAGTCTAAGATTTGAGGTTGCCGAATTTATTTGGCAATGATGTCAACCTTGTGCATTCACATATATCAAATGTAGTCAAAGATGTGAGGTTGCCCAATTCATTTGGCAATGATGTTAAGCTTGAGCATCTCCTTATGAAAAAGGTAGTCAAAGATGTGAGGTTGCCCAATTCATTTGGCAATGATGTCAACCTTGAGCATTCACTTATATCAAATTTAGTCAAAGATGTGAGGTTGCCCAATTCATTTGGCAATGATGTCAAGCTTGAACACCCTCTTATAATAAACGTAGTCAAAGATGTGAGGTTGCCTAATTCATTTGGCAATGATGTCAAGCTTGAGCATCTACTTACATCAAAGGTAGTCAAAGATGTGAGGTTGCTTAATTCATTTGCCAATGATGTCAACCTTGAACACCCTTTTATAATAAAGGTAGTCAAAGATGTGAGGTTGCCCAATTCATTTGGCAATGATGTCAAGCTTGAGCACCAACTTGCATCAAAATAAGTCAAAGATATGAGATTGCCTAATTCATTTCGCAATGATGTCAAGCTTAAGCACCCCCACATACACAAGGTAGTCAAAGATGTGAGGTTGCCGAATTCATGTGGCAATGATGTCAAGCTTGAGTACCTACTTATATCAAAGATAGTCAAAGATGTGAGGTTGGCCAATTCATTTGGCAATGATGTTAAGCTTGAGCACCTCCTTATGAAAAAGGTAGTCAAAGATGTGAGGTTGCCCAATTCATTTGGCAATGATGTCAACCTTGAACATTCACTTATATCAAATTTAGTCAAAGATGTGAGGTTGCCCAATTCATTTGGCAATGATGTCAAGCTTGAGCACCCTCTTATAATAAAGGTAGTCAAAGATGTGAGGTTGCCTAATTCATTTGGCAATGATGTCAAGCTTGAGCATCTACTTATATCAAAGGTAGTCAAAGATGTGAGGTTGCCTAATTCATTTGGTAATAATGTCAAGCCTGAACACCCTTTTACAATAAAGGTAGTCAAAGATGTGAGGTTGCTCAATTTATTTGGCAATGATATCAAGCTTGAGCACCAACTTACATCAAAATAAGTCAAAGATATGAGATTGCCTAATTCATTTGGCAATGATGTCAAGCTTAAGCACCTCCTTATGAAAAAGGTAGTCAAAGATGTGAGGTTGCCTAATTCATTTGACAATGACGTCAACCTTGAGCATTCACTTATATCAAATTTAGTCAAAGATGTGAGGTTGCCCAATTCATTTGGCAATGATGTCAAGCTTGAGCACCTCCTTATGAAAAAGATAGTCAAAGATGTGAGGTTGCCTAATTCATTTGGCAATGATGTCAAGCTTGAGCATTCACTTATATCAAATGTAGTCAAAGATGTGAGGTTGCCCAATTCATTTGGCAATGATGTCAACTTTGAGCATTCACATATATCAAATGTAGTCAAAGATGTGAGATTGCCCAATTCATTTGGCAATGATGTTAACCTTGAGCATTCCCTTATATCAAATGTAGTCAAAGATGTGAGGTTGCCCAATTTATTTAGCAATGATGTCAACCTTGAGCATTCACTTATATCAAATTTAGTCAAAGATATAAGGTTGCCCAATTCATTTGGCAATGATGTCAAGCTTGAGCACCCTCTTATAATAAAGGTAGTCAAAGATGTGAGGTTGCCTAATTCATTTGGCAATGATGTCAAGCTTGAGCATCTACTTACATCAAAGGTAGTCAAAGATGTGAGGTTTCTTAATTCATTTGGCAATGATGTCAAGCCTGAACATCCTTTTATAATAAAGGTAGTCAAAGATGTGAGGTTGCCCAATTCATTTGGCAATGATGTCAAGCTTGAGCACCAACTTACATCAAAATAAGTCAAAGATATGAGATTGCCTAATTCATTTGGTAATGATGTCAAGCTTGAGCACCCTCTTATAATAAAGGTAGTCAAAGATGTGAGGTTGCCAAATTCATTTGGCAATGATGTCAAGCTTGAGCAAATCCTTATATCAAAGGTTATCAAAGATCTGAGGTTGCCTAATTCATTTGGCAATGTTGTCAAGCTTGAGCACCAACTTACATCAAAATAGGTCAAAGATATGAGATTGCCCAATTCATTTGGCAATGATGTCAAGTTTGAGCACCCACTTATATTGAAGTTTTTTAAATAGAGAAGACTTCCTATTGATGTTGGTAATGAATGTAATTGTTTACAATCTTTCAAATTAAGTATCTTTAGAGAAGTCATATACTCCAAATCATTTGGTACCATAGTTAAGTTTGAGCATCCTTCTAAGTCAAGTTCTAATAATGTAGCTATTCTAAAAAATGAATTTGGAAATATTTCTATAAAAGAACAATTTCTCAATTGTAAGATATTTAAACTCTCTAATTTTTTCCAAACATCTATGTCATGTAGCATTTGCAATGCTTTGTTTGTTGATTCTCTTGGTAATTTTTTTTTTTTAGGCATATCTAATAGAAAACATTTTAAACTAAGAGAATGTTTTATCAACACAAAAAATATGCTTAATATTCTTATAATGATATTAGGTGCAAAATCACCAATAGTACAACTTAAAAATTGAAGTGATGAAAAAGAATCACTTCTTATTTTACTTATAATGTTGTTGTTTACGTTGTTATAAAATAATCCCTCCAACTAAAAACCAACACAGTTAAATACATAATTAGATTAAAATTTCTGAATTAGTGATACATTTAATGTACATACAAATCTATTTATAATACAAGATTTATATTTATGCATAATAACTTTACATCAATATACATCTAAAATACATAATATAAATAACATAACATACAAATAAAAAAACCTCTAATTTTTAATTGTTCATTCTTTTCTAATACTATTATTAGTTTTAAGCATGCAATTGGGATAATAGTTACATAAAATCACCTTGTTTGAAAATCCATAAAATAGATCTACATTCAGGTTCCACATTCGTGTGTATTTATACTCCATTTCTTTCTCAACAATATTTCTACCCATGTCTTGTAGTTGATCATGTATTCTTATAATTTTATCTTTGTCTATTTTTACCAATGATTGGTAAATCAATGTATTCAATATAACTTCCATATCTTGTTCAAATATATTTTTTTGACTATTGGCCCACATTCGCAATGCTCTTCCTTTTGACATGCCTTGTGGATATACATCACTACTAAAAAAACAACATATGTCCATAAACATTTTCTTCTCTTCATCTTTCAAATTGTCAAAGCTTACTCTTAGTATCTTCCAAATCTTGTAGTTACTATTGTTTTCATCTCCATCCAACTCTCTTCCCCTTTTCAATTTTTGTAGAGCTCGCTCCCAACATCTCAATCTCTTGTTCTCTCTCAAAAATGCTCCCATAACTTTTAGACTCAATGGTAGGCCATGGCAAGCTTTTACAATCTTTTCTCCAACTTCAACTAATTCATTTGGCAAATTTTCTTGGCCACAAGAATGAGTGTTAAATAACTTCATACTTGTTTCTTCATTAAGTTCTTCAATATTTATTATACAAACTTCTTTACCATAATGCTCTATTGTTTTTGAATCTCGAGTGGTTGTAACCAATGTGCTACCATTGCTAGCATATATGTCATCCATAGGCACAACATCTTCAATTTGACTTTGATTCTTCACATTATCAAATACAAAAATGGTTTTGTTCTTCATCAAGAATGATTTCAACATTTTTTGAGCTTCTTCAACATTCCTTGGTTTTGATTTGACTTTGAATTGTTCTAAAATATTGCAAGAAGTTGTGAAGCAATCAACTCCATTTTCAATGCACTCAACAAAGCATGATGCATCATATATGTCTTTTACATCAGCCAACATAGCCTTTGCTATTGTGGTCTTGCCTATTCCACCCATTCCAATAAGACATAATACCTTCATTTTATTCACACATTCTTTTTTTATTCGAGATAAATATTGTTCTCTACCAAATGTATCTTCGTCAAGTAAATCAACCTACAATTAAAAATTCAACCATATATTAACAAAAGAATATTAGTAATAATAATCATAATAATATTTATTTTTTATTCTAATCTAGTTTTATCAACTAATACTCATGAAAAGGTATCTAATCCTGACTATAAGCATATAAGAGTATGTGCCAATACAAAATTTAAGCAATCTAATAAATTCATTACATACTTTCAATAAATTTTTGTACGAGTTTTACCTTTGGCAATTGGTAAAGTATTTGTTGCAATTCTTCATTTTGATGGTAGTTGTTCTTTGATACTCCAAAATATGGTGCATTTGGCACATTCATTCCAACTAAAAACTTACATTTTAATAAGTTCAGTCTTTCACAAATGGTTGCAAACTTTGGCCGATGCAAAGGATTCAACCTCCAACATTCTCTAATAAGCTCTATCAAGTCATCACAATTTGAAGGTAGCTTTAGTCTTTCACCTTTTTCAATTCTTTCTAATATGTCTTTCATGCCAAGAGCATCATAAAATGGATCTTTTTTTGAAAGAATCTTGGAACATATCATCGCAAATGAGTAAACATCAGCCTCAAAAGGACACATTGCCATTGTTTGAAATCTATTTTTTAGTGCCTCTGGAGCCATATATTTAGGAGTACCATAAATATAATTATTCTCTGTGGCTATTGAATTTCTTCCAACTTCAATCTTGGACATTCCAAAATCAATCACTTTCACAATAGCATGTCGAACAATCTTATTTTTAATCTTTGATTCCACAATATTAACCAAAATATTCTCAGGCTTAAGATCACGATGTGCAATGTGCATGTCATGCAAGTAACACATTCCTTTTGCAATTTGATGCATGATGTCAATGAGAAAAATATAAGATACTTCTTTCTCTTCTTTTAACATATTGCTCAAATTGTTTTCCATCAATTCCATTCCAATATACAAATATTCTTTTTTGTCTTTTGTTTCAAAAGACTCAACACTTCCATTAACACTATCTTTCATTGCAAAATAATATGTTATCAAATTTGGATGGCTTATACTTGCTAGAATATTCACTTCTTTAATGAACAACTTATCATATGCAACATCAATTTTTTTAGTTGCACACAAAAGTCCCAACCACTTAGATTTATAAACTTCTCCAAAAGTTCCAGGTTTTCCCTTCACATATTCTATGATTTCAAGACTTGTCATATCTATTGTAAAATTTAAAGCATCCAATTCTCCAATCTCTATGTAGTACAAGTCTTTGTACCTTTGTAATAAGTGCTTTACTGATGCATGATGTTCAAAATCTTCTTCTTTACTTGCATGAATCAACAGCTCATGTAAAAATATAACATCAACTTCTACTTCTTGACATGTAGCAACATTAAAAGTAGCAAATATAATGTCTTCAAATTTGTTAGGATAATGCTTTAAAAGAAAATTACTTGCTATATCACTACAACATTTTAAATCTAATATTAGTTCTCTAAAAGTCTCTTTGTTATTGAATTGGAATATAGCTTCTTCACACCAATTTGGTTTTCCACACTTCTTTACTAAAAAGTAAGATTTATTCATTATAAAAAATAACTCACTTAATAGAAGTCCAAACTCTAATTTATCATTGGTACAAGTCATTAGGTGGTCAAAAACCTTTGTAACATTTTCAATTTTCTTGCACAAATTAGTACATTGATTTCTATTCAACATGTTCTTTTTCTTCAATAAAACCTTGAATGCTCCAATGTAGACTTTAGAACCTTCCCAAGTATCTCCACAAATACCTTGTATGTTTGACATTTTTTCATATTGTTCCATGGTGCTTGAAGATCTTGACATGAAGAGCCCATGTAAATAACCCCAAACCATATATATAAATTTCTTGAATAATTCCAAAAGATATCCCATCTTGATTTTGTAAACTAATAAAATCAATTTCACCTTCTCACCACATGTAGAAAACATGTTAGATGTGTTTAGAATTTCAAAAAATCTTCCCAAACTCTTTTATACAAATTGTTCCACAAACCATACCATTTTTTTATCCAACAAAATGAATCTATACTTCTAAAACCAAACCATCACTTAATTTATGTACATATTTTAATAATCTCATTTCAACCTATGTTAAAAATTACTAATCCTATGTCAAACATCAAAACCTTAAATTACTCAAAGAAATCTACCTAAAAATTTTAAACAAAAATGAAATAATCTACCAACAAGATGCAAAGTTCAAACATTTAAAATATCTATGTAACAAAGTACACAAGTCACTCTAGAGAACTTTTGTCGTAGAGGATACCCAAAGAAGTTAAATTGCAGTTCAACCATCTGCCGCCAACGCAAGGATGACAAGTAAGATTGCCGTTTCTCAAACAGGTTTGAAGAAAATCACATCTCATCGTTCAGATTGCCCGCAAACGTTCCACCACGACTCGCTCAGCGCCGCTTCTCAAATACACATGCACCAGGCGTTGAAGACTACAGCAAAACCTCGAGCGCCTCAAGTGCTCTCCACCAAAAAGCACTTCGTGACATCCATTCAAGCCAGACTGGACCCTCTCCGGCACAGGAAACGGATCAGTCGTGCAGACACGAAATCAGCATCCACACAACGCTCTTGCTCCTCAAACCACTGGGGCTTGACACTACAACCCGACAGGACACCTAGAGGAGAAATAAACTAATACAGGTTACAGGGGCACAAAATCAATGATTTATGGCTATCCCACACTGAAGATTGAAAGGAGAAGTGAGGTATCTCAACAATCATGATACGCGTGGGAACACCGAAAGCCACGCAACGCAATATGCAAGCCCCTCGAAACCTAATACATACCCTAAAGCATACCCTGATGCAGCAACCACTGTGAACCGTACAACGAACCAAAACTCCGCAACCTCCGACAGTGCCAAGCCACGTATTGGTGAATCTCTCTCACCCGACGTAAAGATCCCACAGAGAAATTTCCCTCCGCCTCTGAACACCCCGCAATGCCACAAGCTGCGCCGGCCACCACCAAACCCCTGCACTATCGATAAACCCTAAATAGTGCGGAGACGCGCAATCCCCTCCGGACTCAAAGGCCCTCTGCAAGTCCCACTGGGCCGGGCTGGTGCCCGTGGAGGACTGTTCCGTGGAACATGCCTCCAGTGGATGGGCTTTGTTTTTATATTAGATCAACTTACTACTATTTAATATTTATTTTCGATAAATCAACAATATCATCGTTCAATTACACCTACATTGTCTGGTTGCATTTTCTCTACAGCCTTATTTCCTATCTTTATGTGACATCTTGGTTGAAATGCTGGGGATCTTGTCCTCGTTTTCAGTGCAGTTTTTTTTCTTCTTCTTCTTAGCTTCAGATTGATGCAATGCTTTTGCCTCTTGTTTAGCATAATTCTTTGCATGGATTTGATATCTCTACACCTTGCTTGCATTGGTCATTGGTCGCAAATCCGGCATGATTCTTTGCATATTTTAACTATGGACATTAGTGAAGGTGGTGCATTGTGTTTACAATAATGTGCCAAGTAGCGACATATATATGAGGTTAGGAATAAATTGATGAGACTATTGGCATGTGGATTGCAAAATTTAATGTGGTGATGTTTTTCAATAATTATGCCTCATTTGATGTTTTTCCCATTACATGCCATTTAATGCAATTGCAAGTGATCATCTTGAATTTAATTATAGTTGTTGAAAAAAAAATAGTATTTAATATGTCATAAATTCTTGTGAATATGGACTTTGGATGCCTTTGTTCAAATTAGAAGATGTCATATGTATAGTTTTTTAAGATATGGTTGGATGGCTACAACATGGACAATAATTGTGGCAGAGCTAAGGCTAGAGATATCAACAAGTAGATTTGGATGCATCAAAGTTAAATTATGGATAGAAGCATTGCTAATTGTATAGTTGTGATTCCAAAATATGTTGGTGCATTAGTATTGACTAAAATCAAGTAAAAGATGATGGATGGCAATAAAATAGGACAAATATTGATTAAAGCTTCTATTTGGGAATTAGGATCTTGATCATCTATAATTTGTAAATTATCTATGTATTCAAATATTTGATGTAATGGCACTAGTACAACAATAGTACTTGAATTCTTTAGATAGTAGTATTTTAGTTTAGTTATATTAACAATGGTTGTATGTGGATCATAATAATCTTGATTGATGAGGAGAATTGTGTTATTAGGTAGTATTAATTAGATGCAATAAAAGTAGTGTCATATAGGATTAAATTTTTTGTACTAATTTTAGAATCATAAAAATATCATAAAATTAAATCTTCTTTTTGAAAAGTACATCATGGTTTGTTGGATTTATAATATTCAACTATTTTTATTTGGCTATCAATGATATTTTATTGCATTGTATTACGTAATTCATCAATGTGGTGCATACTTCTATGGAGTAGGTGACTAAAATATTGGAGCAATTTATTTGATAGAAAGCAATAGTTATATGTCCTATATTAACTTGAAGAAGTTGCTTTTTGTGGCATCCTTATATATAACTTAATAGGTCCTTAAGATTATTAATAAACATATATTTTAGTTGACTTGATTTTGTAATTACAATTTTTTCAACATGGTTAATAAAAACTTGGTTAAGGATTTTTCTAATCCATTATCTTGTGGATAATAAATGATAGAGGTATAATATTCAATAATATATTCTTACATAAGGTCATTTATAACTTCGTTAATAAAGTATATGTCTTGATTGAATACAATTTCTAAAGAGCATCTAAAGTAAGTGATAATATTTTTGTAGAAAAAGATTGCCATAATGATGACTAAATTGATACATAAAGCCTTAGCATTTATCCATTTGGTGATATAGTTTGTGATTGCTAAAATATATTTATGCCTCTTGTATGTTGTTAGTTTAATAATGCCAATGAAATATAAGCTCCAACATATGAATGATCCAAGTGGTAAGAAAAAATATAATTGAATCTTTTCTTGATATGAAAAATTTGCAATAGACATTTGAAATGTGTGACAATGATTGATATATTGGTGTACATTGTTGTGTAGAATTGACTACCAATATCCTACTAAAAAGATTTTTTGGATGGTTTTTTCTAATTCTTAGAGCCCTCTTATCATACTTTTGTGTAGTTCTTTGATAATACATTATTGTTATTTCTAAGATATACAAAGTTGCACTATGTTATTTATATTGTATTTCTGAAGATATTGGTTTACATTTGTGTACGATAAGGCTTAGAAAATGAAGTTAATATGGCTCATATTAGTAAATCTTTTGAATGTCTATCTAATTGTGATATATATTATATACAAAGAATGCCAATTGTTATTGATTGTTATGGATTAGGCAGTCATACAACATGCAATGATTAATAGTTGATTTACTAAATATAATAAATTTTAATGATCTACAATAAATTAAAATTTATTTTTTAATAAATTATAATAATTTTTTTTAACAACATATTCTATAGCAAGTATTTCTTACTCAATAGTTGAATTCTATATGATTTAATAATCAACTTGTGTAGGCTATTAGTTTATCAATCTTGCTAGTAGAATTTTGAACAAGCATAATTCCAATTACAATATTAGATGCATTTGTATAGATCTAAAACCTTAAGACCAATTGAAGGCTAATAGTATTGACATATTAATGTATGCCTTTTTGATAGCTTCAAAAGATTGTTGTGCTTCTACAATCAAATGACTCAGATAGTAATAATCTATACAATTTAAAGCATTAATAAAGGTAATAATATGAGCAAAATATTTGTTATAGATGCAATTAAATTGAGCCATGTCAAAATTGTTATATCCCTTTTTGATATTGCAATGGTTGCATATTGAAGATGTCCTTAATTTTGAAAGAATTGGATAATTTTTTTTGTTTATGGACAATATAATATGATATCTCTTTTATAAAGAATAAAAATATATATTTATTTATATTGAAGTTGACACCAAGGATTCAACATGCTTGAAATTTTTTTATAAGTGGTGGATGTAATTGATAACATTGTTGTTTATCATTCTATTATCAAGAAAGATCCAAAATAATTTCTTTAAAAAAAAACAAAATATTAATTCCATTCCTTGTTAGAAAGTCATTGGTACATTTTAGGCTTTGAACGGCATTCTTTTGAACTCAAAAAGTCCCTATTACAATAAAAATGGTGTTTTATTCTTATTGGCATCTACCATTGCTGCTTCATAATATCTTAAAAATTAATCTAAAAAAAAAAAAAAAAAATCATGTTCCATAATTTTGTCAATTATTTTTTCTATATAAAAAAAGTAGATAATTATCTTTTATCAAGAACATGAATCTTGAAGAAAGGAAATCCTCAACACACTCTTGTATCACTAAAAGGAATTAGAAGTCATTCAAAGATGATATAAGATTGAACTAGAATGGCTATTGTCAAAAACAAGAAAACTAGAAAGTCTTGAAACAAGACTAAAGACTAGAAAGGCATTGAAAAGAGTGAAGAGGGCTTCACTCTAGCCTCCATATATACTTTTAACTAGGAGACATGTAGTAATATCCTATAGGACCTTTAAAACATGTTGACTTTACAAGATACATATCTTAACTTGCAAGGTAAGTTTTCTATATATGTCCCACATAATTAGCTTGTTCTACAAGCTATCAATATGTGGTTAACTTGTTGATCAAGTTTCTAACCTACTAATCAACTACAAACACATGTAAAATCAAGCAACGTCTATAAAGTTTCTCTAAAAGGTTTATGAGATTAATCTATTTTTATTTACGTTTATTTATTCCTACCTAATTATATAAGTATTAACTAGAATACTTATATATGTCCATGATATTATCTCCCTTTCTAGGGATAAGTTCCACAAAGAGCAATCTTCATATGTTGAGGAAATCTAAGATACAATGAATTATATTTGCTACATACTCTAATCTTTGTTCTCTTTAAAGATAGTTGATAGGCCTTTTCAGCCATCGATAGTGTCTTATATGAGGGCAAGAAGACCACACTATTATTTAGTTATTATTGAGGCCTTTCTAACTTCTTTCAAATAAAACATTTGGAATACTATCAGGAGTTATTCCTACCTCTAATAAAATCACCAAATATCAAAAGTCTCTTCCAAGCTCGTGATATCAAACATGTTGTATCTTGCCATCTATTTGAGGAACAATATGTTATTCTTGAGGATCTTCATCTCAATTTCATCATCTTGAACTTTGTGACAATTATAATGTTTTATTTAGTAAGTCCACAAATGAAAGCTCTTAGATTGAATTTACTAATTATTGATTTTCTATCTCTTTAATTACAAAAAAGCTACAAAGAAGGATAGAAAATAGAGTGTTATCTAGTTTTGGTCTTTTTCCTTTATTAACAAAAAATTTCTATTTTTTATCTTGGTTTTGATGGATGTCATTGATAAAAGACTTCAACTCTCTTTGGTGCATTTACAAGATTCTTTGATGGCTCCCATTTGTATTCACTAATATCATATCCATGCCAATGAACAAGATATTTCAACCTATTTTGGCACCGCCTTGAGTCATAGACTTCATCTACCTCAAATTCTTAATTATTATCAACTTCAATAGGAAGATGTGACATTTGTCTTTTTTTTGAGATATTTACTATCTTATATGGCTCAAAAAAAGATATATAAAATATAAGGTAGATCTTCATAGACTCTGGTAGATATAATTGATAAGCAACATGATTGATTTGTTCATAAATAAGAAAAGGTCCCAACCTATGATAGTCCAACTTATCACATGGACAAGTAATCTTGATATTGCGATGAAAAAATCATACCTTATCACCTACGTTGAATTATAGTTGTTCTATGCGATAGGCATATGCTGTCGTATTGCATAGATTTCTATTTGAGAATACACTAGGTACTTAGTTGTAGAGAGTTTAGTTTTAACTTATTGGCCAAGCTCCAATAAGTTATTTAACTTTAAAAATAGAAGACAAATAAATACTACAATATCAAAAAGATATTATATTAATAAATCTTTTTATATTTAAAAAGGTTCATACATAAGGCTTTCTAAAATATCTAGAAATTTTCAAACATTCTTGGCTATACCAAATCATATCTAATCATTTGTTGGTATATT